TGATAAAGGGGTTATGGATTGAGAGGAAAGAATGGGACTGTTAATCTTAAAATTCTTCTATTCAAAACTTTCTGTTTTTATTAAATAGAAATTTCTGCATACTAAAAAGTGCAGCTGTATCGTTTGAATGCATAAAAATTTTGCTTAACAAATTAAGTGCGTAAAAAGAAGTAAAAATTTTTTTGTAATTTTGAAAATACATAAAAATATAAGTGAACCGTTGGGGGAATTAATACTGATTATCAGTTAAAATGGTGTTAGCGTAAACTAATTAAACGTACATTAATTCAATTTATTGTTTTAGTCACCAGAAAACAGATCACGAGGCTTCACACCAGATTTTTATCCCTGGACAAACACGGTAGTTTTTTTTACAAAATTTTCTATTTTTAACTATCGTCGATATGGCATTTTATACGGTTCCTTTATTTTCAGTACTAACAGCAGCATCAACAACAACTTTTAGCACGGTTATTTTGTTATTGTTGATGTCAGTGTTAGTATTTTTAATGAATTTTTATGATTTACTGGAAATAATGGTAAATCTTCAATGGTTATTCAATAATTTAGGTCGTGGATACCTGGAGAGAGATGATTTTTTTGCGATACCGGAGATCGTTGTTAATCCACTTGGCGATCGGATAATCGATGCATTTTTTGATGAAGTGTACGTTAGTCTGCTTTTGTTGTTTAGTAATTTGTAGAATTATGGAAAAAACCTAAAAACATATGAACAAAAAAAAAAAATGAGGGGGAAATAAAAAATTTATAAACTTTACTTTCTTAGCGAAGAGTTAAAATTATAAATTTTTTAGGAGCGATCCGGAAGGTCAGATGAAATTTGAGGACTTTGCCCGCGTTTTGGCACATTTTCGTCCGCGTAAAGAGAATGAGACAAACGATATCAACAGTAGGGAAAAAAAATTGAGATGTATATGCCAACCAGTCATTTTCCTTTTTATTTCATTTTTCTTCTGTTCTTGTTCAACAACATAGTAACATCATTAACTAAACAAAGAAGACAAAAGAGAAGAGAAAGATACTTTTACAATTTTTTGCTGAATTTTGACAAATTAATATGAAAAATATTGCTTCTATTTTTTTTTTTTTTTTGTTTTTTGAAATTACAATAAATTTTGTTCAAACAGTTTTTGAGTGGAGCTATTCACTAGTGCTTCAGTTGCATTTGCGATGTATGATCTAAACAAAAATGGCTACATAACCAGGCATGAATTTAAAGTGATCTTGATTATGATGATCGGACCTCACGTCTCTGATCAAGAAGTAAGTACAACTTTAATGACCGTTATTACTTTCACTGTTATTTATACGCGCACATTAACCACTATTTTATTCTGTAAAAAAGAAAAAAAAAAAGGGAAAGGTTGAATGACATCTTAGTAATGGTGTAATTATCAATTGGAAATTGTGATTCAGTTAGAATGCATAACTGATAGAACAATGAAAGAAGGCGATTACGTAAAAGATGGTCAGATATCGTTTCAGGAGTTTTCGCAGGTTTGTTAAATGGTTTATTTTACTGTACAACTAAATGTGTGATTATACCAAATATGACAAGACTGTCGCAATTATAACACTTTTATTCGTCTAAATATTTTTAGATTTAGTTAGGGCTATGTTAAATCTTGCTGTTTTTAGGCTATGGATCGCTTACATATCGAAGAACTTATGTCAATTCGATTTGGAGACTAAAATTCTGTTACTGTTCATTGAGATGGGAAAATGTGTCTTCTAAGAATTAGATTTTGTATAAATCGTGATTAGAACAACCGGGTGAAATGTACTACCTGCGCTTCAACAACACTTTTTTTAAAACAACGCTTCAAAATTTGAAGATTATAAATCAAACTATCTGTTGTAAAAAGACGAAAATGAAGAGCTGGAGAAAAATGTCTATTTTTTCAATAATGATATATCTAGATCAATGAAATATCAACGATAGAAAGTTATAATGTAGTTACCTCATTTGTTATTTTATTCATTAACATTGTTTCACTTTTCTATCAACTGTAAATTGGAACTTTGTTATTCCTTTTATCTCCGTGAAAGAAAGGTGAATGTGCGTAAGCAAATTAAAATATTCACTCTAATCTGCTATATGTTAATTTACTTTTTTCTTCTGCTTTGTTGTTATTCTAAATATAGTTTTTTTTTCCTTTAAAAACAGTGTAATTAAAAATTATTAAAACTACTTATTTTTTGCTTGTTTATCTGATACCGGATTTTACATAACTGCATAGAAAATGATCTGATTAAGTTTCCTTCCAAAATTGAAACCATCTGTTATGGGAGAGGCAAAAAATTTATAAATCTGATCAAATAAAATATGAACTATCTCACTAATATTCTTTGGTAAATCAGTACTGGTGCGTTACCGAAAAAGTAATGTGTGATTTGAGTTTGAGTTTGAGTCTGAGTTTCACCTGAAGTTTACCGTAGAGCGATACTAACAGTAGACTTTGACACCAGTAATATCGAACATTTTATTTATTCTCTCCATAGAGCCGCAGGAAAATCCGTTCAAAAAATTTTTTTAATTAAAGACTTTCTAACTCAATGCATTAAGAGCAGTGAAGTCGAGACGGTAGCCTAATGATAAATTGAAAAAACACTACCGGTTAACCAAGTAAAGTTAGTCCAAAAAAAGAAAAAAATTTGCTTAAAAACACAATCACTGAACAATCGTTTATCAAAAAAAAGTGCAAAAAGATGACAAATAAATGTGTTTTCAACATTTAAGAATTTTAAAAAAATTTCAGAACTTTTTTTTCTTTTTCTCTCTTGTAAATGGGCTATTCACATTCATTTGGGATAGTTTCAAGTGCTCACAGATATCTGTTTGATCACTTAGAAAGATAATTCTGTTTATCAAAATTAAAAAAATAGCATTGTAATTCATTGAAGAAAAAATTTAGAGGAATTTTGTAAAGATGGATTATAAGTAACTTTGATAACACTGTTTATTACTACAAAGCGGTACCGTTACTCAGTAGTTATGCGACAATCCTGAACGTG